TAATTTTTTCTGGCTAGCGTTTTTTAGCGAGTTAGTTTTCTACGGGATGGGGACGCTAACCCCATCCCCAACCCTCCTTCTTTATCCGGGCTTGGGACCGGCAGTAGCCCACGGAGGGACTCCAGGCAGAGCTATGTGAAAAATTAGTAAGATGTAATAAGGAGGGATGAGTAAGAAGTGAATGAATCATTTATAGGGCAAATTAATAATGATGTTTAACCAGTACTAATAATAATAATAATACAAAGATTTGTGCATAAAGATAACAGAGACAATTACAATTGACTACGAAAGGTCGTAAGTACAATGGTCAAATTAGGCCATCCAATAGTTAAGATTATTATCGATTAATTTGCCTTGAGGTTGGCCAGGGCATGAGGAATGGTTGAAAATATTTGTTCTATAGACATAGCTTCGGTTTCTTCATCCGGATGGCTGCTGCTTCAGCTGTTTGAAGGACTTTAAGTCTGACGAGTTTTGGAAAAATTTACTGACCTTATAAATAATTGAAAAAGATTGGTTTATACTGGCACTATGACCAGTTTGTACTAAATGGGTCAATATCGAGCTGTTCACTTACTTCATCAAACCTTTGTTTAGCTACGCTGATAGGTGTTCACGAGCAAGAAAATGTAAATTTCTAGAAATTCGATCAATATAACTCACTCCACAGGAGCAGTCGGACTGATAAATACAAAATGAGGTGGGCATTCTAGGTAATTCATAATTTAGGCGCATGTACAAGGATTTCTTCTTCCCCGTTTGTATTTCGCCTATTTTCACCTTCTTGATCATATATTTAATTTTAAACTTCTTCTTCAGATGTAAACTGAATGGCTGGATGCACTTCATTAAATCGATTAAGAATCTCTTGCTGTGACGTATTATCTTTACAGAGGATGAACGTTTCATCAATATATCTACAGTAAAATGTGAATTTTTGAATAATCTTTTTTAGTGGACCATTTTCTAGTTTGGCTAGAAAAATATCAGCTAGTATAGGGCCCAGTGGTGAACCCATCTGTTTGTCTTTATATTTCTTCTTTGAACTTGCAATTCATATCATGGTACATTTGAGTAATAACTCTTTCACGACGATAATAGGAACTATCATTTCAATTTCATTTTAAACGATGTACCTTGCCCTTAACCTGGCTATTTTTTTTGGATTATTAATTTAGATATATAATTGTAGAACCTGAAGAGAATTAATCGAAAAGAATATTCTTCGTTCAAATATTAGTCATTCAACTATTAAATTACTAAAATCTCCACAAAACCCTCTTCTGATAATAATATTACTGTTGAAAGAATGATAATTATGAATTTATAGGTAGATGTAGTACAAAATTTATGAATAAAAGTTGGTTTCTGATTTTATTAATGTATGAAATTTACAATTAAGTGATGTTCTAGTTCTGTCGATTGAGTTGTAGTGTGACCACTAAGTCTAAGTGACTTGATATCATGTACACTATGTTGAGATGTTAGGTGATTGGATATAGTTGGAAATAAACTCTTCGTTTATATTTCATGTCAGTAAACACTCTCTAGCAAGACATATCTAAAATCTTGAGAAAACTGGTTACCTTTCTGGAACCCAAACCCAACTCCAGAGACTGAAACCACTGAGCTATTCGGATCGTCAACGACCTTCTGTTGAGATGGGATTATTGATAATGATGCTTATTATTATAATCTATGTCGTTTATTTACTAACCATTCATGATTTATTCAGGATAACATTCATTTCACTGGAAAGCTTTATTCACTATTTGAAGTAAGAGTTGTGAAAATTCAAAGTTTCATACAATTCACTCAGTGCATAAATGTGAACACAATGAAAGCAACAGTCAAATACAAGTTATCTAGACTTCACCTATGAGGTTATTAACTATGTCCAATTTAAAGTAGGTTCAGTGTCATAGTGTCAGTATATAAATTTATACGGTATTGGAACAGTATGAGAAAAACTGTATGCATTATAATACCACAGTATATTAAAACGGTAGAAGAATGTTCTTGTTAGCTTCTGGGTATTAAAATTCATTTAAATTGGTTATATCAACAAACTTGAGTGTTCTGACATTTCTATGAATTATGAAGAAGACAATGTCTTACCGACAGCCATTCAGAAAAATGATGCACCCTATGCAGATTTTACATATTAAGGCTCCAAATATTGCTGCCGTGAGATATGGAAAAATAAAGGCAATAAATACGATACTGGTTACTTTGATAATTTTGATTAAAAAGCATTAAAGATATTTTGTGCCGTCTAGTTTTAAAAGACCTATTATTAATATTTGGGTAAGAGTTATGTAAAACGTCTCTGTAATATGCCATACATGAACATATTCTTCAGTACTCAAAAACATTGAGTAATTCTTCCTTCATTCAAGCATTTACATATCTTCTAGATCAAAAGGTTATCATAATCTATCATCTTGAAGTTGTAATCGTTTGCCACGTAGATAAAATGTAGCAAGGTGACAGCAGAGAGGCTTGAAGCAACCAACTAAACATGACGATCTTTTGATTAAGTTATATTTGTGTTTTGAATAAAGATAATTTTCATCTTAGTAATTGATGTCTATTAGCTTACTTCTAATGTCTTTTACACTTATATTTATTTATAACCTTTGGTTAGCCATTACCGATTTCCAAATGACTGAATTCGGGAATGTGAACTACTACATCTTGACTTAATGGTCTAAAAACATGATGCTAAACTCGAGGCTTCAGAGTTGAGAGTTTGTACTAATTGGAAGTCACGAACTAAAATAAAACAGTTTTCATTAGTCCTCCCGCTAATATCAGCCCATAACTAAAAGTCATTTCTATATTATCCGTTGTTTACATAATAATAAATAGTAATAGCGTTTATAGTTTTGGGTCGACTAAACTTTTTATAAACGCGTTAAAATCAACTTAAGTGTATGCTAACAAACTTTAATAATTTGTAGCGTAATCCGCATATTGATCATTGCTGGCTAACATAATCAAAGGAATCTTTATAAAAATTGTATCAGCTGCTTGAAGACAGTTGTTTTGTACTAACATAAAATAGTTAACTAATACTAATTTAAATAGGTCAACTTATAAATAGGGATATATTGGGAAATATAGATTTATGTCTGTCTGAAGTGTTATAAAAACAAAATTGGACTTATACATGAGGACAATATTTTGATTGCATGCTCTTTATTGTTGCAATATCGTGTAATACATTTACACTTGGCTTGTTCATATGGTGTGTTGTGGACGGTAAAATGCTTTTGGAATATCTTTTTTTCTCTCAGACCAAGTTGCATTCATTTTTTCCAAAAGAATAAAGTATAAATAGTTGACTTGTCACATATACTTTTGATAGAATTAAATGGTGAAATTTTTGCATCAAACAGAAGCAAATATGTTAACTTGTTACATCAGCATAAGAACTTGATCTATTCAAGAAAATTTACAACTCTAGCTGAGTAGAAAACTAATTATAGTTTGATGTTCGTTAAGCTTTGACACTTCGTTTATAATTCAAAGGAGTGTTAACTTCTTTATTACTTATCTATTCAGTAAGTGAATTCTTTCTGAGTAATATAATTGACCAACTTTCAATATTTTTACTAGACTGATCTTTGCCACAAGATGTAATCTGAATTCATTTATACATATATGCTGTTGAACTAATGTCAGCCTGTGATGAAAACTAACTTCAAACCGAGGACTTGTAATTGAAACTTCTTGTAATTTTAGCGTTTTTCACACAGATTGTGACTATATTGATCCACATCTATTGAGTTGAAGAATGGTAGATTGTGATATGAATTTACTGTTTTAAATTGTTAACTTTAGTAAATTGATTTTGGAACTGAACATTAACGGAGATTGTTTCGGTAGCCAAATAGTATGACTTTTCAATTTTTATACTTGCCATTTCCTTAGTATCATTAAAACTTCATATAAGTGGGTTGAGATTATACAGCTATGATTTTAAAATTTATCAAATGTTTTTTCTCCATTTTGTAAGTAAATAAAGTGAATTAGTTACATTTCACGTGAAAACATTATTTGGAAAACTATTTGATGCTTTTCATTTAACCACAGAACGGACAAAATTACGGTCGGACAATCAGTAGTGTATTTTATTGGTTTATAAGTAACCTAAATTCTACACTTGTATTTTAGTTCATTGATAGTATTTGAGATGATTTTCAGGTCTAAGTGAAATAAACATTCAGGTAAATTAAACAAACCGCAATTGGATTTTTGGGATGTTTTGAATAGAGCTTATTCGATGATGTATGTTTTGTGAACATTCCTCACATGCATTTTAAATTAAACTAAATTTCTTAAGTGATTAAAACTTTCTTGTTTCCCAAGGAAACTGAAATAAACATGAACATTTGAATATAATTTTTTGAAGTTTAAAAGTTAGGATGAATTGTTTGTTTAAGTATGCTCATTAGCTTAGCGAGCAAGAATGACATCTACAGCTATTGAATTTTTGAACACAACAGATATCATCCTTTTATTGACAAAATAAGTCGTATAAAACTTTCATAATCAGGGGAAAAGACACCGAAACACAAAAGATTTGTTGAGAGTCAGTAGCTAATCAAATGAAAAAGAATTCAAATCAGGATATACTAATGAATTTCCACATGAATTCAGAATATTTCGCATCCACTAAGGATTATCAGAATGCCATAATATTTAAGAAAATTAAGACTTTTACATATTTCTTATGTAATAATTTCGGACAATAATGAAAATTCAATAAATTAAGCATAGTTAACATAGATTTCCATCGCACTTCATTAGATTAATCGAATTACATTTTCAAAATTGAGTAGAAACCATTGAGCAATTAGGAGCTTAATTCAGATTTTTTACTAACTTCTTTAATAATTTATCACTGTTAATTTTTTTACTTCAATATTCTTTGAAGTTATAATCTGTACTACTTAATAATGTATAAGTAGCCAGAGTCTGTAAAACTCATCTTGCTAGTGGGTTGGTGTGAATAATTAAATGTTTACCAGAATAAAAAACAATGTGTTGAATATAATCTGTCATTTTATCAGTTAACTTAGATGTTGTGCACATATGCTGCATATCAAGCGCACGATAATCATTCCTGTTGTGATTACAATTGCTCTCTGTTTCTCTTTCTGTCCTCTTCAATTCACCCTTCTATTGACAGGTACTCCACCTCCGATTGATGCTATATGCTAGTTATATCTGTCAGTATATGTGGTGTACACTATACATTTAGAATTTTCTTGTTTCTTCTTATTTCATTTTGAAAAAAATATCCTCATTTTGAATGACAATTTGTTACATCTATTGGTCTGAATATCACCAAACGTATCTACCTCAACTATGTAGGCACTGTCCCTGGTATATTCGCCCAGTAATTATTATTGCACAGAATCAAATAAAGTAATGAAAACAAAATACAAGGTCATTGAATACGGATTTTATTAAAAAAGGAGTACATTATTTTACGTAAATAATTAATGTATATGTACAGTAATTATAAACCATATGGAAAAAAATCCAACTTGTACAATTAGTCAAAATGAACAAAGCCTTAGTTGACGAAAGTAGCTAACAATTTAACGATCTACGACACAAATGGATCATTGGAATGTAAAAGGATGACGTTTGTTCTGCTCATCGCCTTTTACAATTTACTAAGTTATTTTATTCGAAATTTTCGCTCTTATACTACAGTCGACTATCTATAAAAATTAATGGATAGGATAGAGACGATACTCCCTTTAGTCGAAGGAGCAACTACGGTATAGTTTTAATCAGTGTCATCAGATAAAATACAGCGCATTTCTTTAGATCTTTTCATCACAATGTAATTGCTCTACCATAAAAGTAAAGGGTGAGGTAGGAAAGAATCTATTCCCAGATGGTATGATTTAATAGTCTGGCCGACAGAAAGATATTTATTGAACATGTATTCGTAATAAATGACGAAAAACAATTTAACGGCTCACAACCAAGAATGAACTAAAGAAATAGATTAATTTAAGTCATGGTCCTGAATATACATATCCCTATCCAGTGACCAAATAACTTCAGTTGTTAGGTTTAAACCAACTTTCGGAAGATATGAGCCTTTTGATTCGACACAAATAAACTAATGACAATTTACCAGTGAACAGAACAGATCACAAAGCCACAAATACATTTTAGGGAAGTAGAACAGAAATTCTAATGAGAGTGAACAAACGAACACAGTGGCGAATTAAGGGTAGAATCAATTAATAAAATCCAAATATATATACATATATATACACACATCATGTGATTAAGAAACATGCTTGGACATGGACATATTATTACTGTTCAAATAATTCTGTCTGTTAAATATGTCAGTTGAAGGGCTTGACAAAAACTTAAACAAATCTAAGTCTAGGAGAGGGGTTATAGATATCATCTCAATCAAACGTAATGATTACTCTTATTATAAACGGACTACATTCATGCTCTCCTAAAAAAGTATTAGGTATTAGTCAGTTGAAGTAAAACATACTCAATAAAATCATTTCTTGGTATTCAAAAGTAGACAGTTGTAGTAATTACCGTGATTACTATAAGTTGTACATACATAGCACAGTGTATACTGTTTTCATATCATTTTGATAAATGCTTTTAACCTGAAGATATAATGCATTTTTCTAGTCCAAATGCCTTACAGCTTGTTTTTAGGTCGCAAATATCCACTACTGTTCTGTGAATATGTAATCTCTTCAAACAAAATTTATGATATAAACCTAACTCACAGACATACCATGGCAAATAATTCATTGTTGTTCCGTACTCTCTGTTTCTATTTTACTTTCTCTAATTGTAGATGGTTATAATTAATGATGGCGCAGGAAATGACCTTAAATATATTGTTCATAAATCAACAGGATATCCACTTAAGAAGAATTAAAAGTTCCCGGCCGATGCATTACATTGCTTTATTATATGTCATACATGCAGTACCTAAACAATTTTTGAACTAGCAAACTTAAAACAATCTTATATCACATGTTTGCCTGCTACATTTAATGTTACAATTTATATCAAGCTGATCATGACTGTAAACTGGCATGAATTCTGTGATTATTATTTTCAGAATACATTATATTATTACTACGATACTTGTATGCAATTTTAATCAACCGAAAATTCTCACCATATTAAAACATATCTGAACGAAGAATATTCTTTTCAATAAATTTTCTTCAGATCCTACAACCATATGTCCAAATTAATAGTCCAAATATTGGCCAGATCTAAGGCGAACAAATCGTTTAAAATCATAGCATGTAAATTCAAAATTATTCGTTACCTAAAATAAACTTCACAAAACCTTTGGAAGATTTATAATAATAACAACTATAATAGTAGCATGTATGAAAAAGTTTAAGCTATAAAAACATAAAGAGGGCTGTATGAACATTTATAAAATTATGTCAGCATTTCATCAAAATGATTGTTAACTAATTAGGCCAGAAGTTGGCCAAGGAAGAAGAAGGGGTTGAACATATTTCTTCCGGATGCAAAACTTTTGCTTCCTGATCTGAACAGCTGTTGCCTCAAACGTTTAGGGATTCTCAGCCTGACGGTTTTAGGCAGATAGCTGTTAACACGATATGTTATTGTAAATGATTGCTCCATGTTGACTCTATGGCCTGTTTATATTGAACGGATTAGAATGGAGCTATTAAAAGTTTTAACTATACCTTTACTTAACTACACTAGATGTTCGAGAGCATGAACATACAAATTCCTAGAATACCTGCCAATATAACTTGTTCCACACAGTGAACAAAAAAGAAATCAAAAAACTTATAAAATAGAAATTTTATTTAAAAATCTATGCGAAATAACTGTTTTTTTACAAAATTCGTCATGGTTTTGTTAAATTATAAACACAGTCAATACTACTACAGTAATAATAATAATGATCATAAAAGACATAAAAAGTTATAAATTCAACAGCTAATTGATTTGTTACAGAATAACTATAAGGATTAATTGATGCAGACCATTCCAAATTTTTTTTACTGAATAAACAAAGCTTTCTGAATAAATTGTCAACACTATGTTTCTTTCTGTAAATACGACAAAGAAGGTGAAATGAAATACATATAGTGTGTTTTACTTTGTGCACCAGATGACAACAACAATTGTTTTACGTTTACAAACTGAACATTATGACAAAACTTAGTATTTGTAAAGACACTTGTATTTTAAGTGTTTATAAAAGGAGTATATTATTGGAGGCTGCAAGTTAAAGAAAACTATGGACACAGATGGAACTACTAGCGGCCACCCATTGCTGAGTGGAATAATTGATACAGATCAGGACAAAGTAGATTGACTAACAGGAAAGTCAATGCTAGGGAATGTCTAAATGTGCGTCCTCCCTTCTAGAGTTCATGACTCATTACTTTCTAAAAATACATATACTCTGGTCATTCTGACCAATGCATACATCACGCTCTTTATTTCACTAATTTAAAGCAATTTCTTTTGTTTAAGATTATTTATATCTTGTTTCTTCATTTAGTAATCACTTCACTGTTATTATCTCTTACCTAAGTTATAATAATTTGCATGTTACGTAGTGTGTGAATGAATATTTTACTTAATTCGTAATTACATTATTACTTTCATCCGCCTTTATTTACTACAAACTAGAATTTCTCATTTTTCAATTATCTACAAAGTGATATATATATATATATTTTTTTATATCATCCAGCGAAATATATGCAAACCATTATTACTGAAAAATCTAAATTCGTATCCTCTATTTTTGGAAATGTAAATTCTCTAAACTTAACCATACTTTATATGTGAAAATTATATTTGAAATATTCTCAGCGATTGAAATTTAACTAATTCCAACGTTTCGTCCAGCTAACTTGTCTGCACTTCTTCAGGGTAATAATCAAAATCAAAATTATCAAAGAAATATATAGCTTTTAACAATCAGGATTATACTGTGTTAAACCAATCATATTTGGGTGTTGATTTTTTGTAAAATAGGATGAAATGAGTCAGTTGACTACAAATCATGTGATGAATTCAACTACATGGAAATACTTAACTGAGTAACAAATCGTATGTGTGTGAGTGTGTGTGTATGTATGTATGTGTGAGAGATTGATATGAAGGAATAAATAAAGTTCAAGGATGAAAAATTGATAATGAAACATCGATGTACATGTCAAAACATAAATTGTAGTGTTTAAAAACTCATTCAGTTCTTTCAATAATAATAACGATGCATGTGATATTAAAAACAGGTTTAAACAAGAGATAGGTTCCAAATTTACTTGTCAAACGAAATTTGCCAGGTAGTTGACATTTGAATACCATCTTTTCGGTTCAGGCTGTTCTTGTTCGCCCATATATGCAGAGCTTCTGCTGTCAATCTTTCTTTATGGGTGTTAAAACCTTTCTGAAGTATTTTGGTCCCTTCAAAATTAATCTTGTGTCCTGTTTCTAACGCATGTAAAGCTATCGCTGACTTATTTTCAAGTTTCTTTAAATCTACCGAGGATTTTGGAACATTTTTCAAGCATTGTTTGTGTTCCTTCAATCTTACATTTAATTGCCTGGATGTTTCTCCAACATAGGTAGCATTACAGTCATGACAGTGAATCTCATACACAATGTTCTGTTGTTCTTCCTTTGCTAACTTGTCCTTAACTTTCACCAATGTCGATCTTAATGTGTTATTTGCTCTAAAATACACTCTTATATCATGTTTGTTTAGAATCCGTTTGATTTCTTCTGATGTTTCACTCCGGTAAGGTATGACTACGGTGTACTTCCATTCTTTTCGTATACTTTCTAGTTTAGTTTTTCTTTCATTTTTAATAATCTTTTTAAAAATTTTGGGTAGTTGTTATCCCTAAGAGTAAATACTTTATTTAATTCCTAGGAATAAGAATCAGTTGACCACAAACTAGCATTTCTAGATTGTCTGGTTGAACGTCGACACAATAATAAGAAATTAAAAATAAATGTTTACAGAAAATCAACGCATTCCGAGAGATACTTGGATTTTAATTCAGCCCATTCACAGAGCACGAAAATTAATGTGGTAAAAAATCTAATGAACAGAAGTACTAAGATTGTTACAGACAAGGAAGACCAACGAACCGAATTAAATAAAGTATTTTCTACTCTTAGGGATAACAACTACCCAAAAAGGTTTTTAAAAAAGATTATTAAAAATGAAAGAAAAACTAAACTAGAAAGTATACGAAAAGAATGGAAGTACACCGTAGTCATACCTTACCGGAGTGAAACATCAGAAGAAATCAAACGGATTCTAAACAAACATGATATAAGAGTGTATTTTAGAGCAAATAACACATTAAGATCGACATTGGTGAAAGTTAAGGACAAGTTAGCAAAGGAAGAACAACAGAACATTGTGTATGAGATTCACTGTCATGACTGTAATGCTACCTATGTTGGAGAAACATCCAGGCAATTAAATGTAAGATTGAAGGAACACAAACAATGCTTGAAAAATGTTCCAAAATCCTCGGTAGATTTAAAGAAACTTGAAAATAAGTCAGCGATAGCGTTACATGCGTTAGAAACAGGACACAAGATTAATTTTGAAGGGACCAAAATACTTCAGAAAGGTTTTAACACCCATAAAGAAAGATTGACAGCAGAAGCTCTGCATATATGGGCGAACAAGAACAGCCTGAACCGAAAAGATGGTATTCAAATGGCAACTACCTGGCAAATTCCGTTTGACAAGTAAATTTGGAACCTATCTCTTGTTTAAACCTGTTTTTAATATCACATGCATCGTTATTATTATTGAAAGAACTGAATGAGTTTCTAAACAATACAATTTATGTTTTGACATGTACATCGATCTTTCATTATCAATTTTTCATCCTTGAACTTGAACTTTATTTATTCCTTCATATCAATCTCTCACACATGCATACATACATACACACTCACACACATACGATTTGTTACTCAGTTAAGTATTTCCATGTAGTTGAATTCTTCACATGATTTGTAGTCAACTGACTCATTTTATCCTATTTTACAAAAAATCAACACCCAAATATGATTGGTTTAACACAGTATAATCCTGATTGTTAAAAGCTATATATTTCTTTGATAATTTTGATTTTGATTATTACCCTGAAGAAGTGCAGACAAGTTAGCTGGACGAAACGTTGGAATTAGTTAAATTTCAATCGCTGAGAATATTTCAAATATAATTTTCACATATAATGACTTCTCTATACTCGGCGCTCAATTACTGTCAAACTATTCGTTCTAATCTGAACGAATATTCGTATAAATTAACCATACTTTTCTTATTAGGAATTTTGTAGAGGATTTCAATCTTTAGCTCACATTCAGGAGAAACTTTATCTAGACAACCATTGGACACTAGAATAGATTGATTATCTGTTGAACTGATGAGTATTATCATACTGAGATGAAATAGTTGTCTAGTGCTTTCTGACATTCATTAGTGATAAGTCTGATAATTGAATACTCGATTCGACTTCTTAGTCACTACTCATAACTCAAGACTAAATCTGCACGGTGATTCGAACAGAATAGAAAAGTTGCAAAGTGTAAAACCAAAGACTGATGATAAGGATTTATATGATTCCTAAAATATCAAATTGATTTATGAATACACCACTTTTTATATGATTTATTTACAGTTAGATAAACAGTAAAATTTGTACAGATTGAATTGAGCTATATTTGACAAAACTAACTTACTGTATTAATCTATATTTATCATATTATACTATTAAGCATCAATAACCCTTCTTTAAATGTGAAAAATTGTCACACACTACTGAGAAAAACAGTTTCATCTGTCATTCAAACTTCAATAAATTTAGGCATTGCTCGCCATATCATTAGTTTTCTAGATCAAGTTCCAAGTGATATAGACTACCAATATTCTTTTATTGTTGAGTTAAACTTATTCTTTGTTTAAATACTAGTCCTTTAATATGATGGAGATCATTAAACAAATAAACGAATCACTAATGCTTATCAATATTTTCAAATCACAATACCAACGTGTACCATGTATGAAATTTACAGTAAATAAATAAACAAATAGAAATGGGCGGAAAATTCTAGAAAATTCTAGGCAACTACTAATTTTTACTAAAATAAACTTTAATAAATGTCTAATAATATTTCTACTAACGAATAATAAATAAGTTGTAAGTTAATAAAAAGTAATTTTTTATTCCACTTTAACGTT